CATTCATTTGCTTTTTGACAATTGAAACTGAAATATTTGGAGGAGAAAAGGTTTGTTATAGACAGCAGCCACTGACAGACATGTCATGCAAACAAAGAGAACAGGAGATAAATAAAAAGACATAAATAAGGTGGACCATCTTCTTTTTATAAATCTGTTTTGTAAAGACTTTTTGTCACAAAAATATTGACGTACGATAACAAGTTCATTGTGGGACTTTGAATTCAACTCTAAAAGTTGTGGTGATAATTAGGAAAATGATCAATTTCACTTTTACGGTGTGAAACTAACCTTGGACCAAGCTCTGGTTAAGGGGAGAACTGGCACAAAAGTTGCAGAAAACGCAGGACATTTTTTTTCTGAAACATATATTCCTTACTCTGTCACTCTCTCGCTCCCTCTATGACATACTACACACACACACACACACACACACACCCCCCCACACACACACACACATATATAGTTTGTAACTTTACCTTCCAAGTAACTTGAATGCAGTCAAAACTGGGGGCCTCAAGCTGCACATCGACCGGGGGACCCTCAGGTGCTGTAGAGAGGTCAAAGTTTAACTGTCTTCAAAATGATGGGCTTTGTTTAAGTTTGACATGATTCAGTTAAAGGCTTGATGGACGGGGATTTACCTGCTTCTTTCGTTGTAAATATCAGAACATTGCTGGGTTCACTCAGTCCCACATTGTTGACTGCAAACATGCGGAGGTTGTAAGTCTTGGCAGGACGTAAATCAACCAAAGTCACCTGAGTCAGGTGAGCCTGCGGCACTTCAGTTCTTTTGGCCGTATCCCAAGACGCTATTGGACAGAAATAAAATGAGATCACATCTGCACCTTTTAAATAGTGTTCTTTATTCAGGGAGTTGTGCAAACTTCCAAAGAAAACCCACTGAAAAACAATCTGAAGATCCTGATGCTTGTTTTTACGGTTGCAGAAACAAATCTCCTCAGGAATAAAAAGATATTATAGACTAACTCAAGACATTAGCAGGACATTGCAAACTGTTGGTAGCAGCTTGCAAAGCATGTCAGCACATAGCAGCATGCTTTTCTTGTCCTTACCGTATTTGTTTTTTAAATCCACCTTGTAGGCTGTAATGGGTCTGCCACCATTAAATGGAGGGGTCCAGCGTACAGTGATAGTTCGTTCCCTCACCTCTCTTGTTTCCACCTTTAGAGGAAAAGGTCGTCCTAAAACAGAAATGCAGTGTTTTACCAGTTACTAAGGTACTAAAAAAAACACAAATAACAAATTTAATAATTACCATTCACTGTGAATTGTCAATTTTCAGATTTATTTTCTTTTTTTTTTTTTTTGACATGATATATGCAACGTGCATTATTTCAGCAATATGCTTTCTAGAGTGTAAAGAGTACCTGGCTTTACTGTGAGAGTAATCTCAAGTTTCTGATCGTTGAACCAGCCCGGTATGTCTATCCGGCAGCCGTATATGCCCGAGTCGCTCTCCTGAACCTGCCTGATGGTCAGAGAAGCCTCTCCTGCGCCGAGGTTACCCGTAAGAGCGTAGCGCTCCGACTGCCGGCTGAGCACATTGGTCCCATCTGACCTGAGCACCTCGTTGGCACAGCCGCTTTTAGGTATGTTCCCTCTGCCCCAGCAGAAAGGCAGCTTGCCGTAATACCCTGCATCATACTTGCATCTCAGAGTAACATCTGTTCCCACTGTGGTGATTATGGGGTTTGCAGAGACATCACCTAAAAAGCAAACAAACAAACAAACAAAAAGTGTAAGGAAAAGTCTAACGCTGTCAAATAAAACTCTCCTTAATGATTCTCTTACCTGTGTTCACCCAAAAGAGAAGACAGCAGCACAAAGTGATAAACTTCATTCTCACATAAATCACACTGCAGAGTTTTCCTGAGTTAGTGATTAGTTCATCTGTCGGACACCTTTGAACTGACCGTAGAGTGGCTTCAGCACTGAAGTGTTTCCAAATCACATGACGCCTCCCTTGATATGCTCACACCAACAACTTTTGGTGGCAGAAGAGGAATGCAGAAAAGAGCTGTTTCCTTTCCTGTGGTTTTGGTTCCCTTCTGCAAGAAGAAGAAGGGGAAAAATGTTTCTTTTTGTTGAATAGACACAAGAGTCTCAAGGTTCTCAAGGTTCTCAGTGTAACTTGTTGTGTTACCTAGTGTCTGCTTCTGAATCTGGATTATGGCTTTATTCTGGGAAAATGCTTGAAACTCAGAGGACGCCGTTTAAAAATCTACTTCTGAACCTTTTAAAATTAGCTTTACTTGGGAATAATCACGTTTTAACTGCTAGACAGAGATTATATATTGATCCTGGACCCCGTGACATTATTGAGAAAGACGAAGTTGGTCACGAATGTGTATTTCAAATAGACAATTGGGATTAAAAATCATAAAGTCAATGTTTTTGAAAAAGAAAATCTAGTTCTGTAAGGAGGAAAAGGATAAAAATACAGCAAATGGCAATTCTTCCAAATATGAAAGAAATCTATGTTATGTATTGTTTTTTTTTTTTTTTCATTTGAAGGAATAAAAATGTTTTGCGGCTATTTTCCTTTGTATTTTAACATTTTATCAGATTTCATCTTGTTATTACATTGTTTTATTTCATTTTAATTGTATGCACTCAATAATAAATATGAATAGTTCATGTATCAACTAAGATAATTATGGGTGAAAAGCAACCAAGGGGAATATTTTCAAAAAGGGAGGATTTTAAAATCCCCCGTTTCCCCTCAGTAACACAAGCTTTAAGGCTCATAAAGAAATAATCTTTCTCCAACCTTTGGTTCTGTCCGTCTACGTGTGTGTCAGTTTTATTTATTTATTATAAACCCGAGCAATAACTATCCAACAAGTCATAAAAAATATTCTACATCCAGAACTACAAAAAGCATGTTGCAGGGGTGAATGGTGGTTGGAGCTGGGATTTAATCACCATCATGTAAGAAGAAAGCATTTAAGATGAACCAAATGTGTCCTCTGTGACACGAGTGAAAGTAGAAAGTCTGGTTTACCCAAAGCCATGGTCTCTTGCATAGTTTTTGAACTGCTGAGTTAACATTTGGGTCTCTTTGGGTGTTTTGTAACCCTGGAAAAAAAAAGAAAAGAAAAGAAAAACTTCCTCTGAAGCATGAGAATGGAGTAGTTCAATATAATCTCAAAATTTATGGCAGAAAAAAGTGTATTTTTAACCTTTTCTCAGAACTAATACACCTTATTTTAAGTTTTAAATTGAAAAAATATCTAAATCTTGTGACAGTTTACACCACTTCATTAACAAAATAATTTATTCACTTAATAATTCAATAATTTTCAATATTGATATTTCTGTTGATGTTTGCAGAGGGGTTGTGACTGGGTAAGAGATGAATTTCACCCTGGAAGGGTTCAGAAGGTCACGCAACACATTTTTTACTTCTTGATGTGAATGTAAAACCAGAACAGAGTCAAGGAGGCTTTGACATAAAATTAAAACTTCCACCTAGTGTGCTAGAGCACATTGTTCATGGCAGATTTTATTCAGCAAAGATAATAGAAAATGTGACAGGCATCTCTCAAAACATAATAATGTAGATGGTGGATCAATTCTGGAAAAGGTTTTCATTTTTCATTTAAATTTTTTAACAAATTTAGAAAATTACTCTCGAAATTAAAGGAAAAAAAAATATTTGTTAGCAATACAGTCACCAAGTCTTAGAAATACAGACCAGTTTGTTTCCACTGGTACCAAGACGATGTGTGACAATGAGGGTCAGTTCTTTGAGATTTCCTTGATGGGACCCTAATTGCTTCCACGACAGATTTCAGTCGACACTGTTGGTTCCATGTTGGTGAAATGAAAATATTATTTTAAGTATTTTTCTAAGAGGGGGTATGAATCATGTTGGGTGCATCTCCAAAGTTCAATGGGTGAGAGGAATCCCTGGTCAGAACATTGCAAAGGGAATTTGCAACATGATCATATTAAAAATATATAAAAACAGGAACTGAAAAAGAAACAGAGAAACTGACATTTTATTGAAACGAAAGATAAAAAAATGTACTTACAACACTCAGTACTTGGAAACAAGTTAAGAAATTTGTCGTCTTTGTCCACACAGAAAATAGCTTCTAGGGAGATAATGTTGTTATTAATCTTAATGATTTTGAACTGTTAGTACTTTGCTCAAGGAGAGCTCACGTAGGCAAGCTTTCTGCAGGAAGACCCTGAAGCCAGGACTTTATTGCTGCAAGGCAACATTACTGACATCCTGTCATCAAACTTTATTACTATGGAAGTACTGATACGTTTCAGTATCTCTCAGGTTGTTCATGGCTTCTCACATGATCAAATGTCTTTTTAAGCTCAGTCCCTTATTATTTAAAACATGAAGGACCACAGATGTCATAATCTGTAAATGCTCTGCAAGATGCCTCTTATGAACATGCAACATTGTGGGTCTGGAAGTCGTGCACATAACTCACACAAAGCTTGAAAAGTTGTAGAAATTATCTTACTTTAATCAAGCATACTCCTTACTTAAATCTACAATAATGACATCTCACATTTTAATTATTTTTATTGTAGTGTAAATTTCTGCCTACAAATGGGAAGGAAGGGTGAAGACACAGGGGTTGAGGCTTGTATTTTCTCCTGCAGTTCTGGTTACTATCTGGACCCCGATCTCCTTTCCACAGCCAGATACTAATCAAGATTAAATGCCTCCAGTACAAACAACCATTTAATGACTGGTTTCTAAATATATTAAAGCAAATCTGCTCAGTGTCTGAAGGCAATGCAGTTTAAGCTTCATATTCTTTCTTTTTAAGCTGCACTGCTCACTTTAGGTAATGATGAAGTGGTTCTGTTATCATGATTGGTGGAGAATAGCTGCTAGGATAGATGATTAAATCTTTACTGGTTAATGATCCAATCTTGAAGATGTAAAAAAACTGGCAAAACTTTCATTTTCTTTGTGCATAAATCAATTAGAAAGACAAGTTTGATTCAAGTTTACAAAGACAAAACTTTATTCAATTTAACAAGTTGATACTGTTAATTACAAACAGTGTTAAAAACACAGCGTGGCCGCTTAATGAGCCAAGGACTTCTTAGAATGTGGATAAAACTATTCAGCAGCCTGCGACAGCTTCCTCTTTTACAAATATGTGGTTACTCCAACGCCATTTCTGAGTCCTGTTTTCTCACGGAGAGCCATGTAATGAAGCATCATTTATATTCCTCTAAAGCAAAAATACAGCAAAGGTTAAAAACCAAACCACTAATCAAAAGTCCACAGACAAAATAAGTTGACTGATAATTTACAGTCTTTGAATCATACATACTAAATAAATAGTTCAATTATTACTTTTTTCTATGTACAGTTAATTCGAGTTACGCCACTGTTTATTTAAAAAAAAAAATCCCATGCAGTTAATTGATATAATTCAGGAAGTCATTGTTTTAATATGTAAACAAAGAAGAAACAAGGAGGAGACGAAGTACAAAGCGCGTCACTTGTCCCGTCATTTCATTGTTTATAACGTTATGCAGTTTGTCCAGTAGGTGGCACTGTGCCCACAACTGTAAACCATCACAATCGTTTCATGTCGGTTACAAATAAATTCAAGCAGATTAATTAACTTTAGGGATCAGCATTTATCTGGGAATCACTGGTTAGACATTGTATGTTATTTTAGTGAGATTACTGTTTACTATTGAGAACAATTTTTCATTTAATTTATAGTAGCTGATAAATTGATAAAACATGGTTTAAGGTCAGTAGAAACCTGTTGTATCTGTTTCCCTGATGCAGAGCATCATTGAGTCATAGGGATGGTCTCGTAAATATTTTCGGCTGTCTTGGTGTTGAGCTGCTGACGTGTCGTCCTCCCCATCAGGACCTTCCTCCCTGGTTAGGAGAAATGCCGTGATTAGACATGTTTTCGGTCTGAAGCAGAAGGATTAGTTTAAAATGAATCCGGACAGCAGATGGATGAGTCACAATCTATAAACCACTGCACACTTACTGATGATGAGGATGAGGATTAGGATTATGGTGAGGAAGAAAATAGCTGCAATCCTCCCAATGTTCTCTGCTTCTAAGAGGGCTTTGAAATTTTCATGTAGTGAAAAATTAACCTTATCATGGAAGACAGGAACAAATACAAATTAATTATAGTTTCTCCCATTCATTTTTAGTTTATAAGAATATTCTTTTTAAAACAAAAAAAATATTTGTTTTTGTCATTTCATTTTTCACTTTCTTTCCTGATGTTGTAAACTCATGTAAAAATGGAAACAAAACTTAAAAAAAAACAATTCAGGAATTAATTTTTGTCACATCAGATTCTTGTTGTGCTTATTAAAAATTAGCTATTGACATATCTGTTTTGATAACATCCACCTACCTGACTTGTTACACTCTGAATTTTTGGTATTTTTGAGCCTGTAGAGAAATAAAATTTATTTATTAATTTGATCTATCCAATATAAAAGTAAAAAAAAAAATTCATTCATCTAATGAAAGCAAATAATCTGCCAGATCAAGAATTTAAAGAATCAGAATCTGTATTTTTTTAACATTGTTTTCTTGTAAATATGTATATGCATAGTGTTTTTACAAAACAAGACAAGGTTGAATTATTGCAAACAAGCATGGTATTAATCTGCCTGTCAAGTGTTCATCAGAGAGACAGTTTAGAACCTGCCTCTGGTAGCTATTTTCTTCAAATAGCGCTCTGTAGCGCTGACCTGCAGGTAAAAATCGAAACAGTTTGTATCCAGGATGTGTGGTGTCTGCAGAGATTATCGCTTCCCTCCTTTTAATCCCATACAAGTCCTGCATGGAGGGAAGATCGTTCCTGGTGATCCTCAGCGGACACCTGAATGTCCAAAGTCTGGTCCTTTCATGTTTTCTGAATGATTCAAACCACACAGTGATGCAACATCTGTAGGTAGCCCATTTCCTGGTAGTTCCCAATCCTCTGAAGGCTGTGGTTACCCATGTCTGTTGTGCACCTGTTCCTACCACATTTCTTCTGTCCACTCAACTTTCCATTAATGTTTGGACACAGCTATACCCAAGCTTTAATTGACTCTCTGCTGGACAGGAGGCAATCTTCACAAAGAAAACTGGATTGTAGGGTTTATTTTAGCCATCAGCCATAACAAATTAAACTGTCAAAAATGATCACTTTATGCATAATGAACAGGTAGAAAAGTTTTATTATAAATAAAAACATGCTAATATTCAGAGTGAAAACACGCAGCTGTGTTTTATTTTAGTACAGAGAAGCTCTACTTACCTTTGCTTACTGTCACAGTGACAGCCTCTGTTGTGCTTTGGACGTCAAGTTCTTCCATAGGAGCTGAAAACAAACAAAATGTTCCAGTTAGCTCAAGTTGAAGCAGTGACAGTCAAAATTAAATGATATATTGTTTAAGAATTCAGTAGAATAGTGTTTGTTGTTCCCATAGGACAGGTGTCAGCAACCTTTGCAACTCATTTGTACCCTCAGTTAGTTATATTTTAAGAAGTACAGTTAAAGCTGTTAGAAGCAACATGCATCTTCTTAGCAACATTTACCTGTCAATGCTGCATATAGCCTGTGTTTTTCACATCTACTAATTAAACACACTGAGTTTTTACACATTTTATATAGCCTTCAACAGGGTGACTCAACTAAGGACAGTGGTTGCATTTGCATGGAGGAAGTTGTTTTAATCTAAAAGAGGGCTAAAGGTTGCATTTTGTGTGAGAAATATGTGAGGGATCAAACTTTGTATACTATCCTCCACAATGCTGCTCATAAGTTGCCTGGACAGACTGGTATTATTATAAGATAGCATTATGATGTCCCATTTAGTGAGCATTACCTTCTTCCATAATCAGGTGTACGTTGATCTTTTGGTCGTTGAACAAGCCAGGAATCTCCACCCTGCAGCCGTAGACCCCAGAATCTGTTTTCTGAGCTTTAACGATGGTCAAGGAAATGTCACCCTGCATGACCTGGCTCAGCAGCTGGTACCTGGGGGACTCTCTGAAAGTCACATCCCCATTATCCGACGAGAGGACCGTGTTGCTACATTTGGACCGGGGCACCTGCCCGTGTCCCCAGCAGAAACTGACGATTCCGTTAGCTTGGACATCATAGCTGCAGGGCAGAGTGACATCCTGCCCAATGTACCCAGTGACTGTAATGGTGCAGGATGATACTGAAAAGAGACGGCAATGACAGATCAAACGTAGAAACCCACACGTACCCTTCAGCCAACGAGCAAATAATATCAGCTAAAAGTAACCCTGAAAATATTCACTTACCTTGGATCAGGATGAGAAGGAAAGGAATCAAAAGACCACACATTGGTGTAGGGTACTGTGTAAGCATATCCTTAAGAGAGGCTACCATGTATTTCTGCCACCACATACACTCTGGTCCAGACTGTCCTTTGTTAGCCAAATTATGAAGTTCCCTTTTTCCTTCAAAGAAATAAGGAAGGAAATCAGCACAGCGCCTTTCTGCATTTAGATCTTAATTCTTCATATGAGCAAGGAGTCCTAGGACTGTGATCTATCACCTCTGCTTCAATACATTTGAAATGACTCCTACTTATTCGCAACAAATGTAGGCTGATGTTTAAGTCGAAGAAAATATGCAGCGATCGGAAATGTTGACACAGACGTCACTATGGTCAGAAGCAGAAGCTTCAAATACCAATATGTGATGACACAAGCTCTAAGAGGAAACATGACATATGAGCAACTTATCTCACAGAATCAGGTTTCAAAGAGGCTGGTTTGAGATTTGAAAACTGATCAGAAATACTGCTGCTATTTTGTGAGGGAAATTACTTACATTGTTTTCATATGGCTGTTTAGTTTCATTTAGTTTGACGTGGCCATTGCTGGTAAAATAAGAGATTTTTTTTTTTTTTTAAAGTCTGTTGATGTTCACATTAACACACACATTTTATCTTTTATCTCTTGATTGTCAAGCTTTTCATCATCCCCTCATCCTTTCAAATGTTGCTTCTGCTGTTTAGGTCTGCTTTATTGCTAAAAAAAAAAAAAAAAATGCGCAGCAGGTTCAGCACACCCCGTAGAACGACAAACAAGCAGAGCGGCTTTCATTCTGTCAGGGCTGATTGCAGAGTACACCGCCTTGTTGTTTCTGTTTGTTTTGAATGGTTCAAGACAACTGGTGTTTTAAAGAAGCTCTTCACTGTCACTTTCATTATGGTTCCATCTTATTCTGCTTCCTAAACACACGCTTCAATCAATGAAAAGTGGCCTCATGAATACATTGTGATTTTTCACCTTCTCGCTGTGCTTTTGCAAGATGTCCAGATGTCATGTTTACCTTCTCTTCATTTTGCAAATATGGAAGAAGTAACATAAATCTCTTTATACATTGCTTTTCAGAAGTATTTATTGATTTAACACTAAGTTTGCTGTGAGTTGTGATGGCCACACCAAAACAATGACTTTGTTGTCCTTAAGTCACTTCATCACCACTTTGGCTGCATGCTTATGGTTAATGTCTTCCTGTTGCTTCATTATTTCTACAAAATGTTCGTTCCTTGTAATTGGATCTATTTTAAGCCCCAAAACATGATGCTGCCACTACCGTACTTCCTGGTTAAGATGTCACAAGCGTCTCTATTTTTTTCTCCAAATGTAACGATGGTCGTGATGGCCAAACATTTCCACCTTAGTTTAATCAGATTACAGGAAATGTCTCTAAAAATGAAGGTCTTTGTCCTAGTGTGCATTTGCAAACTGCAGTATGGCCTTTTATGTTTCTGCTGAGAAAAAAAGACAGCAAGAAATAACTTTCCTCTCTGAAAGGACTTTTAGCTCGTGTCAGTTTTGCTGGTGACATGAGCTGGTGAAATTAAAGAATACCGTTCCCCTCTACGTTGTCATCAACTTGATCTGTACTATGACTTTACAAATATCCAATCTTTACAGTGTTGTCGTCTGAGATGACGTGGTACGGCGTCTCAAAAGCTCAAAGGAAGTGAATTACTTAGGACAAAGTTTAGAACAGTCCACTCTTGGAATTTGTTCATTTATTTTGCCAAAACTCACCAATAGTTATCATTTCTGGTCTCATTTTTCTTTTTCCCCTAAGAGAGTTTGCTCTAAGACCTTCAAGCTTTTTCACATTTTTCAGTCAGTATCTCCCAGCAGTGTTTAAATTCACATTACACGATGTGGGAAACGTTGAAAGCTCATTGTCATGTGCATTATTAATGTAAAGAAAGTGTCAGTTTATGTGTGCGTGTGTATATATAAATATGCAGAGAAGCGTAAAAAAAATATTTTGTCTTTGTCAGTCATTTCCTACCCTCTTCTCACCTCTGTCAAGACTTTCTCCACTTCCTGCCGTCATCTCTGTCATCCACCACTGAATTGTGTTTCCTGAGATCACAGTTCTGATGCTGCAGTGGCCTGTTCTGTTTCCAGGTCTGATTTATATGTGCAGAAAAAAAAGAATGAAACTAAAAAACTAAATCGACATTTTCTTTTGCTTTGTTATGGTTCATCATTAGGCATGTCCAAAAGCCACATCAAGTGTTGACAAAAACTATTTACAACCGTACAAGTTTCTTTTGCCTTAGCTACTTTGTCAAATGTTTCAGATTAAACACATTTCTGCTTTCACTATAGATTTTATTTCTGTTTGCTGTATGTAATTGGTAGAGTTATTTTTATTTATCTCAATGGCTGGCAAACAACTATAGGAAGCACTACTGCCACCAACTGGTAAGGAGTGTGGACCAGAAAATGGAAACAAACAAAAGTAGTAACTCGATCTTTGGCGTCACTCTCCTGCCTCAGCCATCCATCTGAGCTGTTCCTCTGATGAGCCTGAAGTGCTGCAGCTGTGGGTAATCTGGCCTAGCAGTTGAAGAAAACTAGTAGAAAACTAGTAGAAAACAGGCACACAAGCTGAGCCATGCACTGTGTCCAGCTTAGTAATCAGTTTATGACCTTCAGCTGAAGCCCTCCTCAGTAACGCAGCAGAACAATGATCCAAAGCACAGCAGCAATCAAAGCAAAATAAAGGTTTTGACAAGTCCCATCTGCCACAGGCTGTGAATTGCTTCACACAGTTTCCAGATAACTATTTGTCAAAAGAAAAAAAAATGCTTCTATAAAGGTTTGTGTTGATTCATTGCATAGAATCCAAATGAAATATATTCTCATTTTTGTTTTTTTTGTGTGACAAAATATTTAAAAAGTTGAAGGATTAGAATTAATTTGGCAAGATCTTCTATTTTTAGACCTTTTGGGATTTTTCATTACCTCTTAGAGTTCAAAAAATGTTTGTCTTATACCAGTTGTTTCATGCTTTTATTACAATGTGGAAATATATTTAACTATGTGACTAAGGACAGTTTATTTTTGACTTTAATGGCAAAATTCTTATTACCTAAAATAAAAAACACTATTTTTGCACAATCAGTTTCCCAGAGACTTAGACAATCTAATGTATTAGCATTATAAACAACATTCCAATTTATTTGCACTACTCATATACATATTCTCTACTATAAAACAAAACCAAGATAGTTGGTTTAAACTGGAGTCACTGTCAATGTGCTTTGAAGATAAAAGTTTAAAAATGGACTTTAGAGCAGAATAGCTGGTCTGAAGCCAAGATGGAGGCATTAACAAATGACTGGTTGACTTTTGCTGATGTCTGATTAGACTGGAAACAAACAGAAAAGGGGAAATGATACCACTGAAGTCACTCAGTGTCTTTTGTCGAAATCACCCAGTAAAGGTTGGTAATTGCTGCATCAGCTGCCTTTGTGTTAAGCAAACAGGAACTTTTGATTTAAAGAGTAACAACCACACAACAAACCACGTGCATGTCAGTATGAAGTTTTCTGAACTGACTGACTGCATTACCAACCTGGTATCATTGTGTTTTTATCCAATGCAAGTAGATCCCTGATATATGACAGTTGGAAATGGAAATATCATTTATAAGAAGGTTAGCAAAGTTAAATAACTTCAATTCAAACAAGGTGATGTGAAAAGTCACATCACAATAACATCTCTTTGCGCTTGTATAATAAAGGAGTATTTCTTAATTGATGTAATTTCTCATATAAGGGAAATGAACCAAACGTTGTTGAGTAAATAATTTATAGTTGCTGACCCCTTTCACTTTAATAACTGTCAGGAGTACACTGGTGTCATGGAGCCATTTACTTACAAATAAGCATTTTGAAGGTGACAGTTAAGGGGTTGAAATTAAAAAAAAAAGTGACAAATGATCATTTCACCTTGGTGGCTGTCACTCCTAAAGGAATAAGTATATTTATTTAAAAAAGCAGCTTGTATTGTTATAAAATATAGAAATATTTGCTGACACTTGGATCAAATAAGTAAGTTGCTTTAAAATTTGATTGCCACTATTTTTTTTAAATAAGTGCAAATAAAAGAGATTAGAATAAAAAAAAATCCCAATGCAACTACATGGATGTTCTTTTTGAAAAAGAGAAAAAGGATGCTAAGAGAGTCAATAGTCTAACACCTCCACCTGTTGCTTCCACTCAATCTGTCTGCAGTTTGTGTTAAATCAATTACCCTTCAACTCCCAATTGCCGTTCTTACTTTGTTTCTTTGTTGCTAATGTGCGCTGGTGTTATACTTTTCTGAACTTGTAAATTGTTGTCTCAATAAGACAAAAATTCAAATAAAGAAAAATATTCTCCCATGAATTACTGGTATGATCTGTTGCCATTGTCAATAACTTCTTCACATTGAAAAGACAGCAATTTAGCATAATGTGCAAGTCAGTCTTGCAGAATGCTAAAGAAATGTTCAGCATCTGAGGCAGAAAGGCTTTTCTCAATAGACCACAGCTTCCTGCCGTAATGTTTTCTTAACCTTAGGAAGTTTGGTTAACTATACCAAAAGAAAACAAAAACGAGTGCAAAACATTGTAAACAAAAGTGTGACAATCATGGTCAAGTTACAGGATGCAAATACAAGCCTCTTGCTTCAAAGTATAGCGCTTCCTCTAGATTTCTAAACATCCTCCCTCAGCAAAATGCTGATAGAGTGCATAACCCTACACAGCATGAAGGAAGAGCTATTTTGGAGTATTTGAACGTTCCCAAAATGAGACATCAACAGGCCTGAAACAAGTGTAACACATTACCACTGAAAACAAAAACATGATACTGGAACCATTTACTTCAGAAGACACGTTCTCTTTGTCTGAGCAGCTTCAGACAAAGGTAGGTCTGTCTTCATTAGGACAGAGCTAACGAAACATCAGATCAACAAGGAATGCTGCTATTTTGTTTATTATTGTTATTTTTTTTAATGTAATGTGTACTTCCTGCAATTAGCTTTACTATTACTACTACTTTACTACCACACTGCATGTTTTTTTTTTGTCTAGGTTGAGAGAACATGTAAATAAATGAAACTAAAGTTGAATCTTTTCTGGCAGCATATTCATGAGAATAAATCCAGCTTTATACTCTAAACCTCCGTCTTAGTTTAATACCCCAAATCTAAAATGAATAAAAAGGAATTTTTTTTTTTTTTTTTTGTTTGCTTGCTTATTTGATTCTTGAAGATGTTTACAATCTCGCGTTAACCTTCTTCAGTTCTGAACAATGATTTGGAGTTCTGGCCTCACAGGACACAACGATCATCAGACATTG